AACTAAATTTCCTGTGCCGTTTAATATTACTGACGTTTCTAACACGACATTTCGGGATATATTTCGCTTGGGGTAAGTAGGGGGAATCGAGTAAAATATTCAAAGTATTGGATATTCTTTCTTCCAGTTTGTGTCTACCTTTACCGAATCCTCTACATGATAATGGCCCGCGTATACTTTACGTACATGGGTCTTTACCGGAAATATATAGTGTGGAAGAAGCGATGACTGTCAACTTTGTTCTGCAAGATATTTTCATGTTAGAAGATGACTATGCTGTTGTTAATGGTTTGATAGCGATTGTCGATCTTAAGGCATTCACTTTCTCATATGTTTTTCAACTGACTCCAATAGTTTTAAAAAAATTCATTGCATACAGTCACGAATCAATACCATTACGAATGAAAGCTATCCATAACATAAACGCGCCCAAAATATATGATACTGTTTACCAAATGTTCTTACCGATTTTGCCACAAAAATATCACAATAGAGTACGTGAACAAAACAGTCGTTGAATTTTTATACCCATCATCAAAGAGGTATATTTACTTCGTCAAGACGTTTCCAACAGGAAGCTTGTGATACCCCATAAAGTATATACATTCTTGATCAGCATCAAATTCTAAATCAATTTAAGCATGTCCGTCGGCCCGTCTGTGTAATGTCTGACACTTGTAAACACCGTCCTGGCCTAATTCAAATTAGGCACAAACATTGGAAGTTCTTGCACGCAGGTTGATATTGAAAACTGGTCGAAGGACACGTCTACATTATTACGTAAAGTAAGGACACATCAATAATAAAAAAATGGTATTTTGATCACTACTCACCTATATCAGATAAACATACATCGTATCTTCTGTGGGTGATGCTATACTACCTTCAGAAAAATGCAAAAATTGGCCTCGCCTTAATTTTATAGTGCGTCAAAACTTCTTCTTTTTTCAAAACTCACAAGAACAAGGTTCAAAACCCCCATAAAGTATACAAATTCGGAATACCCATAAAAATGCCCGTACATTCATCTGTCCATCTGTCCGTCTACGCAA